TTAATCATGTTTACATATCTTGCACTACTCATCTCATATGTATATACTGCATTCTATTCTATAATATTCTACTGTATCTTAGTCCATGCCGCTCTGTCATTGCTTGTCCATATATGTATATATTCTTAAATTCCATTCCTTACCTAGATTTGTGTGTATTGGGTATATGTTGTGAAATTGTTAGATATTACTTGTTAGATATTACTGCACTGTCGGAGCTAGAAGCACAAGCATTTCGCTACACCCGCTATAACATCTGCTAAACACGTGTATGTGACAAATACATTTTGATTTGATTTGACAATCGCAAAGCACGTGAAATATATTTACATGCACGCCGCACACAGCCTAGTTTGGTAGAATAATATAATAATATAATAATAATAATAATAATAATAATAATATGCCATTTAGCAGACGCTTTTATCCAAAGCGACTTACAGTCATGTGCGCATACATTTTTACGTATGGGTGGTCCCGGGGATCGAACCCACTACCCTGGCGTTACAAGAGCCATGCTCTACCAGCTGAGCTACAGAGGACCACATGTCTGCAGGCAGCAAGAGTGGGCAGCTCTCAACTGGTTTTGGCATGGAGCAGCTCACAGAATAATGACATCGGTAGCTGGTAGGGTAGGAAAGACGTTTCAACTCATATCTACCAGTAAATGCTAACTAAGGCAACAATGGGTATGCAAATCAGGTATTGAAAAAGTTTAGTCCGAAGTGTTGGTTAGTAGGCTATTTGTGATGCGCGATTGTCATCATGAGCTGTTTGCATCAGGGGCGTAGACATGGATGGGCCTGGGTGGACTGAGGCCCACCCACTGGGGAGCCGGGCCCTGACAGGCCCACCCACTGGGGAGCCGGGCCCTGACAGGCCCACCCACTGGGGAGCCGGGCCCTGACAGGCCCACCCACTGGGTAGCCGGGCCCTGACAGGCCCACCCACTGGGGAGCCGGGCCCTGACAGGCCCACCCACTGGGGAGCCGGGCCCTGACAGGCCCACCCACTGGGGAGCCGGGCCCTGACAGCCAATCAGATTGATGTGGTTTAAGCATGGTTGTGGAGTTAGACCATCACATTCCTGTATTTCTTCTATTTAAAAAAAGTGTTATTTTGAGAGTGAAAATCTGAAAGAATCTATAGGAAAAAACATTGGAAAACATAGGATTTCTCAAACAGGGTTCCTTTCCTTCGCTGGTCGGGCCTTTTGGGAACTTTTTGGCAGAAATTGAGTATACCCACTTCTCCAGGCACCACTACACCACTAGATAGGGCTGATGGAAAGACAGCAGTCACACAGCATGATGGAAAGACAGCAGTCACACACAGCATGATGGAAAGACAGCAGTCACACACAGCATGATGTTAAAGACAGCAGTCACACACAGCAGGATGTTAAAGACAGCAGTCACACACAGCATGATGGAAAGACAGCAGTCAACACAGCAGATGGAAAGACAGCTTCACACACAGCATGATGGAAAGACAGCAGTCCACACACAGCATGATGGAAAGACAGCAGTCACACACAGCATGATGTAAAGACAGCAGTCACACACAGCATGATGGAAAGACAGCAGTCACACACAGCATGATGTTAAAGACAGCAGTCACACACAGCATGATGGAAAGCACAGCATACACGCAGGATGGAAAGACAGCAGTCACACACCATGAGTTAAATGACACATACCACACACAGCATGATGGAAGATCAGGTCACACACAGCATGATGAAAACAGCAGTCACACACAGCATGATGGAAGACAGCAGTCACACACAGCATGATGTAAAGACAGCTCACACATGCATGATGGAGTAGACAGCATCACACGCATGTGGAAGACAGCAGTCACACACAGCATGATTTAAGACAGCAGTCACACCAGCATGATGTTAAGACCAGCAGTCACACCACACATGATGGAAAGACAGCAGTCCACACACGCATGATGTTAACGACAGCATTCACCACGCATGGAGTTAAAGACAGCATCACACACAGCTGATGGAAAGACAGCATCACCACACATGATGGAAGCAGCATCACACACAGCATGATGTTAAGACAGCAGTCACACACGCCAGGATGGAAAACAGCAGTCCACATCGGATGATTGAAAGACCAGTTAAAGACAGTCACACACAGCATGATGGAAAAAGACAGCATTCACACACAGCATGATGTTAAAGACGCAGTCACACACAGCATGATGGAAAGACAGCAGTCACACACAGCATGATGTTAAAGACAGCAGTCACACACAGCATGATGGAAAGACAGCAGTCACACAACAGATGATGTTAAAGTACAGCAGTCACACACAGCAGGATGGAAAGACAGCAGTCACACACAGCAGGATGGAAAGACAGCAGTCACACACAGCATGATGGAAAGACAGCAGTCACACACAGCATGATGGAAGACAGCAGTCACACACAGCATGATGGAAAGACAGCAGTCACACAGCATGATGGAAAGACAGCAGTTCA